ATAGTGCTTTATCCATTGTTATTTTCTAACATTAAAAAAAAATTTTTTTTAATGTTTTATTTATTTTGAGACAGAGAGAGACAGAGCATGAGCAGGGGAGGGGCAGAGAGAGAGGGAGACACAGAATCCTAAACAGGCTCCAGGCTCTGAGCCGTCAGCACAGAGCCCGATGCAGGGCTCCAACTCACGACCCATAAGATCATGACCTGAGCCGAAGTCGGACGCTCAACCGACTGAGCCACCCAGGCGCCCCTCTAACATTTATCTTTTAAGAGTGAGTTACTTATTGGTCCCTCTAGCTATGCCGTGAGGTCCTTGAGAGTAGGAACCTTGCCTTTCTTATTTTTGTATGCCTGAAGCATACTTTTAGTCACATGATGGAGGTGCTCAGTGTTTGGTAAAGGATGATATTTTTTGAATGCTGATGAGTTGGGTAAGTGAAAGGATCTATTAGTAGGAGCAGCAGAGAGGAGTGTGGAATTTGAGGTGCTTTGGTTGAAGAATGAGAGAGGGCAGTTACAGATAGAAAGGCCAGAAAGGTGGGCAAGGGTGGAAGGAAGGGAGAGGTCATGTAGACAAGTAGGGCAGGGCAGGCAACCTTCTGGTGAGGAGTAAAACCTCTTGCCATATTTTAGGTGGGGAAGGAACAGTTTGAATCAATGAAAAAGGATTGATGGCTTTATTCACTTTCCTACTTGTGCTTCTCTGGGGTTCAAGGTGGGTTTAGTACAACATCTTAATTTAGGACTGTCAGGCTCTCAATACCTCTTTGCAAACAGAGCTACAAATTACATTCAGTGTTGTTTTCTGCGTTCCTTATTTTTATGTGTTTTTTGGTCTTTCAAAAAAGACTTTTTTTTTTTTAATATCCTTAAATGCTCCCCCCCCCTTCTTTTAGGAAGAAGAAATTACCTGATTCTTTTTCACTCCATGGGTCAGTTATGCGACATTCACTTTTGAAGGGAATTTCTGCGCAGATAGTGTCTGCAGCTGTAAGTATTTTGTTCTCTTTCCCAGCTTTGTAACCTGCAATGGCATAATGAAGCAGGAATGAGCATAAAACAAAGCACAGCACTTCTCTTGGCCCGAGGCTTAAAAAAAAAATAGAATCTGGCTTTCATGGGTTTTGTGTGATTGTTTTTGACTCATAAGACATGGCTATACATCTTGACATAGAAATTAGTGCAGCCATGAAATAAAGGTCTGCTCAGAGTCTCTGGTGTGCCTAAATGAAATATGGCAGCAAGCCTAAAAGGAACACTATCTGCCTTTTCTTTAAATTCCTTTTCAGTTTAGTTGCCATCTTGTGTATTTGGTTGAGTTAGAGTGCTCTTTTTTTTTTTTTTTTTTTTTTTTTTTTTTTTTTTTTTTTTTTTAGTCTTTTCATATGGAGAAATGATTGATCAGAATCTTTTACAACTGAGTGATTTTTTTTTTTTGTAATCATAAAACTCTTTTCATGTACCTTATTTTATTTACTCTTACAACTTTGAAAGTAAGGAAAGCCATATCCTGTTTTACAAATGAGAAGAGAGACTCAGAAAGGTGATCTATTAACTTGTCTTACATCATTGAGTTTGGAGATAGCAGAATAATTACTCAAAATTGGGGTTTCTGGCTCCAACTGTAGTGCTGCTTTGTTGTGAAATGGGGGTGGTATTGGTGAATGTGGCCAGAGTATAATGGTTAGAACAGAGTATCTGCGGTCTTTTTTGAACATTTTTTAGAGCACTGATTTCATGCAAAAATATTTAATAGACCATCAAGACAATAGATGATGATTCTGGTAGGCTTTATCAAATTTTTCTTTGACCTCAGAGCCTATAATTTTATGTAGTCTTTCAATTTTAGTTTTCTGAATTCGTTGTATAGATCTTATGTATAATGATGATGATGATGATGGCAACCACGGTGACATATTCATGTCCCAGGAACTTTGACTTTTTTAATGTTTTTATGGAGTTTAATTGGTATTTTGCAAATTCAGTTTGGACAAAATTTTGATTTCCCAAAAGGGTAAGAAGAGATTGATACAGGAGTAGCATCACAACATCATAACTGCATTGCAATTGTCATATTTATCAGAGAAAGCTCGTATAAAAACCAAACCAAACAAACAAACAAAAAAAGAAAAAATAAGAAAAAGTGTCCTCTGTGGGCAGTTGGTATACCCCGACCCAGCTTATATATCATGAAGTCAATTTAAATAGATAGTCAAGCAATGGAGGAAACCTGGGCAATTGTCCTTCCTCTTTTAGGTGGAGAGTAACTCATATTTGCTAGAATGGGAACCACCTGTTGAGGATTACATTTCCATGACGTTTTCTGAATTTAATCCTTATGTAGGTGATGAAATTCATTCCTTTCAAGATCAAGATGAACCAGAACAGTCATTTGACCCACCTGTGCAGTTTTAAAAATATTTTGAATAATGGAGACTGAACTAAAACTCAGACGCTGAACATTGATTAGATAAATCTGTTATTTAAAAGGGTTTCTTCTCCCTCTTGAAGAGGAGGGAAAAATTCTAATAAATCCCAGAGTGTTTGCATTCTGTTCTTATTTCATTGCTATGGCTGAGCTCCTTTGGTCTTTTAAAATGAAAACTGCTTTTCCTATGACAGTCTTCATACTCTGCCTTCCTAATTTTGGATTACCAGCTCAATTTAAATTGTATGCTTTTCTGTGATGTTCGGTGTGTTAACATGTAAAGCTAGTTTTATTTTTGGGCATCTCTCCTGAATAGTTGTTCAGTGATGCCTTCAGCCATGTGGATAGTGGTGTTATTAGGGCTGCCTGGGGCCTTGCTCACAATGGCTTTGTCGTCCATACGCATAGAGAACAGTTAGGAGAGATGGAATTTTTGGAATTGTGAACTTCTGATTCACAAATGAAAGTAATATGACAGATGACTGTATTTTAAATTTGTTTAGACTAATTTCAAAGGGTATTTATCACTTTTATGATCGCCTAAGGTGGTAGAGATGCCTTAGCACAGTGTTTTTTCCGAAATGCGTCCGTTGTGTAAGAATCTCCTGGTACTGATTGAAATGCAGATTCCTGAGCACCCAAACGTGCTTAATTGGAATCTTAGTAGTATAGCATAGGAAATCTGCGTTTTAACAGTATAACAGGAATCTGTATCTTAGGTGATTTCAAGGTAGCCTGGCTTTTGAGAATCATTACCCTAAGATGTTGCCACACCAGTACTACAACTCTGTAATCTCTAGTGCTTCGCATATGTCTGTTTCTTTGGCTTAAAAAATTTTTTAAATTTATTTTGAGAGAGACAGAGCTAGTGGGGGAGTGACAGAGAATCTCAAGCAGGCTTGTGCTTGCTTCGGCAGCACATATACCAAGCAGGCTCTACACCGTCAGCACAGAACTTGATGCAAGGTTCGAACCCAAGAACTGTGAGATCATGACCTGAGCCAAAACCAAGAATCGGACACTTAACTGACTGAGCCACGCAGGCACCCCTGGTTTTTTGGCTTTTAAAGGAAGCTGACTTCTCATTTCATTATTCAGGTTCCATTTTGAATATAGTATGCTTTTTATCTGCTCTTTCATTCTTTTTCCCTATCCAGGACACAAATCAATCATTCATCAGATATTTATTGTATGCATCTTAATTGTCAAGCATGTTAGGTGTACTTTACATACACATATCCATACAGAGCGGGGTATATCCTCCATCCAGAACATTGAACATAGCAGCCTTGTGATTGTTCTTCCTCATACTCCCATGCACTAGAGTAAGTTTCTTGAGTTAGTTCCCAGGACACTCTGTAAAGTTGGATAAAATTGATTCTGCCTTCTGAGAGATTATAATAACTAACTGACCACATTGACAGGGACAGACATAGAAAAGAACTATAGAAATGATATAAAGAGCCAGGTCTGGGAACTGGAAACTCTGAGTTTGAGACATAGTTTTCTATTACTTCTTGAATAATCTTGGGCAAGTCAGGTACACTTTTTAAAACTTCTGTTTTCTTAGTCTGGAAAATCAGAATAATACATGTTTTATATATCTCTTGCAGATTGCAAGTCAATAGTGTAATACATGTACATGAAAGCTCTTTGCTACTATGGTGCTAATTGTAAGCTCTTACTGTTTAAAGCTATAGAAGCATTAAATAGATAACTGTACATTTATATGATACTTTACATATAATTTGTACCTCAGGACAAATTATTGAGGTACATAGGGCATTATTTGCTATTTTCTTTAACAGATGAGGAGGCTAATACCCAGAAGGTTAGGTGACTTTCTCTAGGTCATAGAGTTACTGGTATGGAGCTGGGACCAGCAGTTAATTTTTAATTTTCTGATGCTTGCTTGAACTGACTGAATACACCCAGCTTGGGTTTTATTGAAGGATTATTAGATAATTTGCTGGATAGGAAGCTTAGAGAAAGAATATCTGTAGCATGTTTCCCTTTTCTTTTTTTTTTTTTTTTTTTTTTTTTTTTTTTTTTTTCAACGTTTATTTATTTTTGGGACAGAGAGAGACAGAGCATGAATGGGGGAGGGGTAGAGAGAGAGGGAGACACAGAATCGGAAACAGGCCCCAGGCTCCGAGCCATCAGCCCAGAGCCTGACGCGGGGCTCGAACTCACGGACCGCGAGATCGTGACCTGGCTGAAGTCGGACGCTTAACTGACTGCGCCACCCAGGCGCCCCATGTTTCCCTTTCCTAAAATCTTTATGTACTCCTGTCATTGTAACCTATACTAGTTAGAGTGTATCCATGTTATTGAAAATAGGACTTCTTTCCTCTCTCTCTTCTTACGTTTTCATTTATAATCATGCCTTTCTTAAAGCATTGGTTACCGTTAGTAAAATAAAATGATCCACTTTCATGCTCTTTATATTTTCTTCGTCTGTACAACTTTTGTGGTTTCTCTTAGTTGGGGGCAAAAATGAGGATCCCATCTCTTATCTGAATTGATTTGGATTAAAGTTTATGTAAAGAGAGGGGCTTATATCATTTTCTGTTTAAAAATGAGAGTATGTTTTCAAATACTTTTTTAATTTCACTTAGGACAAAGTTGATGCTGGCTTGCCTACAGCAATTGTAAGTACACTTTAAATAATCCTTTAAAGGTAAGCATTCTATTTCATTGGGTTTTCTTAGATTTATTCTTCTAATGTTCAGAGTTATTGCATAAATTATTATGATAATAAATTCGTAAGTCATTTACTGCCAGTAATCAGGTTTAACATTTTTCCATATTGAATGTTCTCTTTCTAGTGTATTGTTATTCTTCAATATAATGGAATAATGGTTAGCCTTTTCCAGGTTTATTTATATGTGGTCCTCCCATGCCCAAGTAAATTTGCTCCCTCTGTGATTTGGCCTCCCTTTGGTTACAAGGGAGTGGAACACAGCATTTGGTGAAATCACTTTGTGGTAAATAGTACATTTAATAGTTCTGAACTCCATTGCCAGGCCTGCCAAATAGTAAATCTGTGGTGCGATTATAGAGAACCGGGGATATTGAAAGCACACTAGTGCCCTCTTTTCTTGAATACTTCCAGCTGCCTCCTGTAGCTTTCTTATTAGTTAGTTAATCGGTGAGGAAGTGGGCTGAAATTTGAATATTTCTGGTGCCTTTTAGCTCCTGTGAATAAACTGAAGGGCTTTATCAACCCCTTTCCCACACCTCATAGCTGGCTCTTGGTTGGGTAGCATAAGTGCCTCCCAATAAGTATTGTCTGGACCTCTGAGTTTTGTTTTTTGTTTTTTTTTTTTAAATTGCTTTAGAATAGAAGTGGTGTGTTTTTGCCTATAATGTTGAACATATGATATTTTGATATTGTTACCCTTAGAGTAAATTTAGAGGGATTCCCAGAAATAAAAGGTCCTGAGTTTCATTTCCCCTTTTGCCTCCTAGATGAAATTCTCCTTATTTATAATAGTTGGTATGTCATCTGGTGCCTAGAGGAAAGAAAACCAACAAATTCAACTCGCATTGTTTCAAGATCCTCGATGTAATATCTCAAAACATAATCTTCCCTTTTGTTCTCAGGCAGTGTCCAGTCTGATAGCAGTGGGTACATCTCATGGATTGGCTTTAATATTTGGTAAATTTTCTAAGTACTTTCTTTATTGTGAATGTTAAGTATCCTTTTATATTTTATATCTTTTAATAACAGTTTAATTGTAAACTTTATATTCTTGTAAAAAAAAACAAAAACAAAAGCAGGAAGACTTGAAAAGTAGCAGTCAATAGTTTTATAGTTAAAATTACTTGACCCAAGTTCATTTTGTTGCTCATTGCAAGTTGATTTTCTTGTTTAAGAATTTATAAGTTATCATATCATATCTTTTGATTCTACAGACCTAGACAGAAAGAATATAAAGTTGAAAGGGACCTTGGGTTGTCATCTTGTCTGCCTCAGTTTGTGGTGGTGGTGATTTTTTATTCTAAATCATATCCTAGCAGATCTTCAGGAAAAGAGATTCACAGGCTTTCCTAGTAACTCAAACTGACAATAAGTTCTTTTTCATTTACATTGTAAATTCCTCTAAATTGAAAATTTTCTAGCCCATAATCACATGTGTTTGTTGGTTGAGAATATAACATTCATTCGTTTCTATGTTAGATGATAGTCTTAAGTATTTTCTCTTTCTTTTTCTACCTGAGACGAAATAACCCTAGTTTCATTACTCTTTGCTTTTGAATTTAGTACAATGAGCAGTACATTTTCTTCTTTTTTTTTTTTTTTAATTTAAAAACTGTTAGATAATATTTGTCTGGCAGTTTTAATTGTTCTCTTCTGAATCTTAAGTCTTTTGCATCTCTCCTAAATGGAATTCCCAATAACACTGTATTTTATTAAGGAATCTACAGGATTTGTAGAAGGATCACCTGGGAATACTTTAATAACAGTACTGCAATTTGATCTCTGTGGGGCTTACATCATTATTTACCGTATGAATGAAAAACTGGTTATTTCCCCTTGTTTTTGAGCAATTTTTGAATTCCTACTTATAAATATTGAATTCCTATTCATAACAATTTGAATTCCTGTTTACAAATAATCTAAATTATCATGCGATTTTTCAAAGGTGATTGATTTAAATAAAGCTTTATTGTTTGGAGGTAGGAAGAATGGACACAAAAATATAATTCTTTTGAGAGTACTTTAGAATTGATTCTTTCAATGATTTTTTTCTTATTTTATAATTGATCCGTGTTTATAGTAGAAAATTGAGATGAGCAAAAGATTAAAGATATAAAATAGCAGATTCCAGCATCCTGGAATAATCCCTGACATTTCTATATGGCTCTTTAATCTTTTATTTTGTACATGTGTGTGTATATGTACACATCTAAAATGGAATCATGTGAATTTGTAACCTGCTTTTTGTTATAATGAACATCTTTCCATGTAATTATATATTCATCTCTAACATCATCTCTAATGGCTACACAGTATTCTTTTAAATGGATTCACCACAATTTACTTAACCATTTCCTACTATTGGTTGTTTCTAAACAAACAGTATAGCAATGAACATCTTTGTAACTGCATTTTTGTGCACCTGATTACTTCTTTAGGACAAATTCTTAAAAGTAGAATTACTTAAGGTCAGAACATTTTATTTTTTTTTTAATTTTTTCCAGGTTTTATACATTTAATGAATGAATGAGTGAATGAATGAATGAATTAGGGTATGAACATTTTAAACACTTGTGATATAACCTGATTGCTTCTGGGAAGTTTTAGCCACCTGCTGTCCTATCAGGTGTAAGAATGCTTATTTTCCTTTGGGAGCAGAATTGGTGTTAGATCAAAAGAATTTGGGGAAAGGATCTTACTTTTTAGGTCAGTCCTCTTTTACATGAGGTGGGTGAGAACCAGCGAGGTTAAGAGATTTGCACAGAGCCAAGTTCAGAATTAAGAAACACTGAATCCTACATCAGTGCATTTTCACCATTCTCAGCAAGTCTGTCCTGAGAGAAAAGGAGGCAAATTCCAAGATATGTGAAGAAAAGAATAGAAGAACTAAGATGAATGAGGATCGAGTATAATGTGTATGTTTGTCTGTCAGCAGAATGCAAGTTGATTTTTTTGTTCTTGCTTACTAATGCTCACTTTTCCTCAACTCTGCTTTGACATCCCTTCCTTACCACAAAGTTACAGGAATATGTGTCTGTTTATAAGCAAACCCATGTAAAGCTACTGCGACAAATTAAAATGAATACTTTAAAAACCAACAGAAGAGTATGTGATGTCTTTTGCTACTGTCTCCTTAATTTCCTTGGGCCTGCTTCTTAATTTTTTTAGGTTTCAACAGCTTTCTTTCTTTTTTAAAAAAATTTTTAATGTTTATTTATTTTTGAGAGAGAGAGAGTCAGAACTCGAGCAGGGGAGGGTCAGAGAGAAAGGGAGACACAGAATCTGAAGCAGGCTCCAGGCTCTGAGCTGTCAGCACAGAGCCCGACACGGGGCTGGAACTCGGGAACCATGAGATCATGACCTGAGCTGAAGTCGGACACTTAACTGACTGAGCCACCCAGGCGCCCCTCAACAGCTTTCTTGTAGATATGATGAAACAGTAATCTTTCTCTACAGTCTCATGCAAGAGAAAGTATGCCAAAGTGAATATTTCGAGAAAGAATGATAATATTCTGGTTATGCTTTGGGGTTTTAAGCATGCAGTTATTAACTTTTTGTCATTATTTTTGTAGAATCAAATTATTTGGACAGTGAGTTTTAACAAATGGATTGAAACTCATTTTAATGGCAGTAACAAATGTCAGAATAATGATACTATGAAGTGTCTAGATTAGAGGTCAGGTTAAATCTGGTCTTGTTTAAATATCTTTGGTGATTGTAGGAAAAATGTAGCAGAAGAATTATGTTTGTTTTAAGTAACATTAGTTTCTTTTTGGACTAGAGGTGGGTCATTAAAATAGTGATAATTATAAGCTTCTTAGAGGTGATGTATGTTGCCTATTCTTACGGACTGTAGGTATATGATATTTATTATATATCTTGGTTCTTATCTATTATACAGGATCTCAAAAATTCAAATCTTTGTAAAGATGTGTCTCTATTCCGGGGCTCTTAGTTTCCTATTTTGGGGGATTGTTAGTATACTTTCATAGATTATCTTTTTGAAGTTGTTTTTATTTCTACCAAACTTACTGGACTTGGATTTACTTATTGTACTATAATTTGAATATTGTGCATTTTCTCTTTGCCATAACCAATATCTGAATGTAATCGTAAATCAGTTAATCACATTTAGTATCATTCCCAGAAATAACTAAAGGTTGTCACTTATACTTTTGAAATTTTACCTGTCTTTTCTCTGAACTTTTGACTGATTTCTTGCTTTTCTCTTTCTTTTGATCTTTTCTCCATGGATTCAAAGGAAAAGGTATAGTAATTTTGGTTTGCATGAGTGACTGTTGTTCTTTTGACCTTTTTAGTGTTGAAAGAGAATGCTGTCAGTTACAGTTGGTGCCCTTTTATGAACTGCTTACTAAAAAAAAATCCAGCTAACAAACTGGTTAAAGCAGGGATTTGTTAAAAATTATAAAGATATGTATGTGTACCTTCAGTGTTTTATTTTAATTGAAAATATACAAATATTCATTTTCTCCTTAATCCTTTGATACAGTCCAAAGACTTTTCTTTGAGTTTGTATCTGCCAGTTGGAAGTCTGCGGCTCTTTTTTGGAATAACCTGCATCAGTAATGAGTCATATAAAATTTGCACTTTTACTTAAAAGAAAAAATGGTAAAAGCTTAGGCACCTGCGAATCAGTTGAGGAGTGCAAAATTACAGATTTTTACAAAACAACTCTTTAATCTTCTCCAGTTGTCTTGTCTACATCTTATTACGGGACAGATTTTCAAAGAAACACCTTTACCAAGTTTTTTTTGTGAGCATTAATTTACTTTTCACGGAAACAACTTTTTTTTTGGTCAGTGTATTTCATCAGTTAACGTATTGTTTAATTAAGTTTTTTTTTTTTCAACGTTTTTTTTTTTTTTTTTAATTTATTTTTGGGACAGAGAGAGACAGAGCATGAACGGGGGAGGGGCAGAGAGAGAGGGAGACACAGCATCGGAAACAGGCTCCAGGCTCCGAGCCATCAGCCCAGAGCCTGACGCGGGGCTCGAACTCACGGACCGCGAGATCGTGACCTGGCTGAAGTCGGACGCTTAACCGACTGCGCCACCCAGGCGCCCCTTAATTAAGTTTTTAAAATCCAGTAACATTACGGTGGTATGAGCAGGTTTATAAATGAACACTACTAACTTATTTGTAAGCGTCATCATTCTAGATGATAGCCAGTTAGCCATGGGGTTTCTCTGTATCCTGGGCTTCTTTCTTTCAGTGAGCTTTCCAGAGGGAGTGCTCACACTCCCAATTCTGTGTGTTGGTTAGGTGGAGGACAGGTGAAGTGCTTCACCTGTTTTATGATCATTGATGAAACATATTTTCTAATACCTCTTCTCTTTTCTTTTGGTCTTAGAGAATATTTTAATATGCACAAAGGGTAAGAAAAGAGTAGTATTAAAGAATGATGAATGCTGGCAAGAAGAGAACTCTATACACACAATTAAACTTGATTTCTTCTAGGATCTAGTTATTTCCTTCTTTGAAGGTCTTTGGGAACTAGTTAAAACAAATTAGGGATGGAGAAATAGAGGATGGGGTCAATTTTGGTATATGGAAAGAGCAGAAATTCTCTTGAAGTATGTTCAGATTTAGATTTTATGGCTATTACAGACTTTATACATTACTTGTGGCTTTTCTTTGCTATTTAGCACGTTACTCTTAAGCCCAGAATATGCTGAGGAGATCTGCCGTAAGCAAAGTATACTTTGAAAGATATACTAATAAACAGATATAATTCATTGCAGTGTTTGTGATAACTAGACTTCACGTTGTCTTAATTGGCAAGCTATTATCATTCACAATAATTCCTTGCATTTGTACCATTTGATAGTTTTCACATTTTTCACAGGCATTTTCTTATTTAAACTCTGTGCCAACTCTGTGAAGTTTATGGGGAAAACCGATAGTCTCATTTCATATTTCTTGCCTGGAGTTATTTGCTTTATAAGGACCCACTCAAGTTTTTTTGAAAACTAAGTTGAGAATGCCAACCAAATGTGATTTTATTTGGCTCTGTAAATGAAATTAGATGTACTGCTAATTTAATGGTTTCTCCCAACAATAGGCAAAGCAGACTTCGTGAATAGGGAAAAATAGAATTTCTCCTTAAAAATTAAGGTGATCAAGAGCCCCCCTGGGGGAGTGCAATATGGAGAGCTCTGATTTTCATCTCTTACTTCTGTCCAGATCCTTCTGTTCTTTCCATATAACTTTAGAATTCAAGTGTTTGGAAGAGGTTTTATGTTTATTTTTACCAAATACCTTTTCCCAGAAGTGTCCAGAATAATCTGGGATAAAGAATGTTTAGTTACCTCAGTAGAAGAAACCTCTCCCATGAGATTCTGGTTTCTTCTTTACACAGAAATTCTCCCTTTTCTGAATTTCATCTAAATTGCTTGATAGGTTTATTACTTTGGTACCACAAATATACAATGTATAAAGACAGCAATATGAACTAATAAATATCTTTGTGGAGTTAAAAACCAGGTTACATTTTATACACTATCTCCTCACTGCCATGCTTACCATATAAAGGAACATTATGAAGATAATGAATACATTGTAAAAATCAAAGGAAAAAGTTGAGAATGCTTTCATTAACACAGTCCTGTGGGATGTAAACTTCATACATACTTCGTGAATGACCAAGTTTGATAATTTGGTCCCCTTTCTTAGCTGGTTTTTAGTACGCAGGATCCATAGTCCGGAAAGGAGAGTCCTGTTTGGGTTTTTTAATCTAGAAGTTTTTCTTTCCCTCTTTTTATTTCCTCTCTTAATGGTATGGTAATTCTTTATCGTTTTCCTTAATTTTATTCTTACTCTCCTTGAGTTGTAAGAATACTTAAAATAGTCTAATGTGTGAACTTTGCTAAATCTGAAAGCAGTAGTATCTTTAAGTATTGGTGGATCAGAATGTGTACAGTTTGGATCTCAAAGCACAAAGGATCCCAGCAGGATGCTATTCAATCACTTTTCTGTACCTGGAAGGCAGGTAGCCCAGACTTAAGGGGCTTCTTTGTGAGGCTGATAAGGAATGTCTGTCTTTGTCTTCCTTTCATTCCGTCTGTTGCCTACATGCAGGACCCAAATAGGGTGTGTGTGTGTGTGTGTATGTGTGTATATATATGTGTGTATATATATATATATATATATATATATATATATATATATATATATATA